GTTTCACTTAGGCACGGAGAATTGTGAGGCCGATCCCGACCAAATACTGTTACGGTTATGTGACTTCTGAATATATCCCATCAGAAACCATTATTAATACATACATCACAGCCCAATATTCACACTGACACCGACTACCTAACCAACGATTTGTTGCAAAAAATTTTTTGGTGGATATTTGGTTAAAAAAGCATTAAATAAACATAGTGTGAAATGTATCTGAATTTTGCGAAAGCACAAACAGAATTAGATGACTCTTTATTATGCTATTTTAAAGCGTATGAATGTGCTAGAAGGGATGTTTTTGGGAGACTAAACATGCCTCATGAGTCATTTGTTTATTTAATTTCATCCATAGAAATTATATTTCAACATTTCGAAAATATCATTACAGGTTATAGTGTAAGTAATACATTTTACAATCAGGTTTGTGAATCCCTCACTTTCAATCACCCTTGTACAAATTTTTCCACTAGAATATGTTATAAAGCTGTATGTTTGAACAAGAATATTTTATTTTTGAAATATATATATAACAGACATTTCAGGAATGGAAACCAAGAAAAACTGTTAATTTGGAAACATCAATAGGCATTTCAAAAGATTTTCTGTTTTTTTGTGAAAAATTTCACATGAACATATATTCGTGTGGTGATATTCACAAAAACAAAATTGGTTGCCATGGCTACGAAATTACTGGTTCTTAAAGAAATTCAAGATTACCAAAAGGTGCAAAAAACTTTTTAAACCAGGATGTTGGGGAAGCTATCAAGCACCATATATCCAAAAATAAGACGGCATGGTTCATGGTTCATTTTCATGGTGCCTAAATGATTTAAATACATGACAAACAGGTCGTTTAAATTGGGATTGTCTAATCAGAATGAAGAAGAATATTTAAATGTTATTCAATTTTTGTATTCAAGTCTTTTGTAGATATCGTGCGTAATACAACAGCGGGCGACAACGTTTGTAAACCTTTCCAAACTGGATTGTTACTGGCAACTCAATCTGCTTTGGATCTACATGAAATTTTCATAGAAAAGTTAAATTATGAGTATATCCTGTTAGGGCGATTTAGACAGCCTTAGAAAATTTATTTTCCTTCAATCGTTGTCGTCTACCAATCTCCAATGCATAACATTTTAAAGTTGCTTTAAGATTAATCTGCCATTTAATTTCCTATTGTAACATGTTGAAGGATATTGCGCAAACAGCAGCAATGTATAGTGAATCTCAATGTTCTAATCCTTTTTCGATAGATTCTGCATGTGAATGTTTTTTATCTGAGACCTCAAAAGTTGCTCTTTATTATTTATTAGGATCAGTTCTGTTCAAAGTTGAAAAGAGATTCACAATAATTTGTGATCAATGTTTTTGTCATTACTGGCAGGAGATAAAGAGATTAATAAAAATAATATTTTTACTAAGTTAAAGGAGTTTAAAGAATATTTGTTAGTTTATCCATTTATGTAATTGTTTGAATTTATACATACTTGTGAACGGCTCCCTTAAATGTTACAGACTATAGGTGGGTTTAGTCAGCTTATTTTAGTAATAAGATAAGAAAAGTGTGGTAAAAAGTTTTGTGACGAATTAGGTAAATTTTGAAGTCAGTTAATTAGTATAATTTTTGAACAAATGTAAAGAATAAATATACGTATTTTGACTACTAAATAATTATTATTCACTTTGAACGTATCGACCTTATAGATAATAACCACAGATATATTATAGATTACATTGTTATATTTTGCGCTGTAAATAAATTAAAAAGTATCTACCAGTTTTTTTTGATAATAGTAATGATAATAAACAGAATCATCTGTAAATTTTATTTCCGTAAATTAATTAATAATACATAATAAATAATAATAAAACTTACAAAGATAATAATTAAATGGTACGTTCTTTAAAAAATTGGTCACATTGAAATCTTTTTTAATGCGATAAGAAACAGAGGTAGATTAAATTATTAAATAATAGTCCAAACGCGGTTCAATTCAAAGCAGCATATAATCGGCTTCTGGTTCAAAATAAAGTACGTGTCTCTGAAGAAGGTAATTGTGCACTCGAAAAGATACCAATATTAACTTTTTTTTCAAATAAAATAACTGATCCAGTTTGTGACCCAATCACAAGTACATTAAGTGTCGTTTCTTTATTTGAACATGATTACGAAAAAACTATGTTTGATCTGTCCTCACATTTAACCTCACAGGTTATAAAAATAATTTCTTGTGACATTTGCAAATATATAAAGGGAAACAATTCATCTCCTTTAATTAGATTAAAAAATCGTGGGCCTTATTTTGTTTCTCGTTCTGATACTGTAAAAATTTGCAAACAGACCGAACGAATATTCAAACAACTACAAGGCAGGACGGTACTTGTTATAACACTCTATAATCCTGTAGCGAGCCCAGTCTTAATAGCCGCCGCGGTACAAAAAGTATAATGGAATTATATAACACATATCACATTCTGTGATTGGCATCTTACAGAATGTGTTACAGATGTTGTTTACTACATAGCTGGCTATGTAATTAAAATGTTAAAGAAAAATGTAACTTGTACGAAATGTTTAAACATAATGGAAGATGAGTACACTTTATCAATTTTACAAGTTAGAAAGAAATATGGCAATATAATTAATGCATTAAGTTTTGTAACAGAGATATGTATCTGTGACGGACGGTATTTGTTATAACACCCTGTAGACCTGTAACGATCGGATAGGATACCTTTTGAAGAACTTAGGAAGCTTGTACTTTCCTAAGTACAGCCACAGTCTCCTACCAGCTCCCCTTGTGGTCGCGTCAACAGCGAGACAAAGTAGTTAGTTAAAAGACTGTCGTATAACACGGTAGATCGGGAACATTTCGATTGTAACTAGTACAAATTAACACGTCGCCTTATTCGCATTCAACAACCCCCACAGACATAATTATGAATAGTCTTATTTAACATTGCGCATTGATGTGAACAAAGATGGTATCATGTTAAATCACGGCCATGAAATTAGCATAAAATTGTCTCCTCAGTCTGAATTTTATATTAATCCGTCCGCTTCAGAAACAGCTGCCTCCGCTAGAAAAGAATTGGGAGGTGTTATAACTGTCAATTTTGCCAATCTGGCATGAGAATTTAATTCAGCTCCCTCAAAAGCCCAAACTCTCAATGTGAAAAGAGAATATTTACTTTTCTATTCTTCGTTGACAGTGACAGCTGTCAACGGTCAATTTGTCCAATCTGACATGAGGGTTGAATCCAGTGACCTCAAAATCATTACCCTATATATTAGAATAACTAAAATATGCTTTTGACATCTGTAAATAGTATTGAAAATTAACAGTTTTGCAACGGGTCAGGGGAGCTTTGGCAGCTCCGTAGTTGCCAAAATGTTCATTTTGGCACTTTGTGCCCATGGAGACTTTTGTTCAGGATGACAAAATCTACAACATATCAAAAATTCAGACAATTTGACAGAAACCCAATTTCCATAAGATTATTGCGGGGTCGAATTTTTCAACTGTCTTTTGGACACCACTTTAAATTTACTTAATGATACATAAATATAAGATTTATATTAATCACTTATTTGTAAGTTTAGGTTTAAGCAGTTCTTTGTATTTAGGTATCTTCTACAACTTTGTGTACTTGTTAACACCATTATGCTATTAGGTGTACAACAGCAGGAAGGACATTTTCGTATAACCCTACGGTTGCATCGGTAATCGTGCTAAAATTTCCTGTAATTTGTAATAAAGTGATTTAACCGCTTAGCACTTTAACCCGAGATTACTCGTGTTGAGGATTCTGAAATTTTTTTTCCAACCCGAATTAACTCGATTATCTCTAACACTAACACTGTGTCATTATCTATAACCCGATTTTATACGTATTACAATCAAGTCAATACGACTTTAACCGAGATATTTCGGAAAAATGTATGCGACCAATCCAGGGTTCAGGGGGCGTGTCTAATCAGCATATATGGATGCGTTTTTGTTTTGGGGCGTTTTTATTGTTGAGGTTCGAATATGGAAAACAGTTTAGAAACAAGCGGAAGTGATTCCGAGGATGAGGCGAGTGACTCGGATGCTTCAAGTGAAGGTAATAATGAAGATTTTCAAACCATCAGGACATGGTGTAAAATAAAAGATGGATCTGCCCCACCTGCATTTCCTTTTGCTGGAAATATTGGTGCAACTTTCACAACTTTTGGAATGAGGACGTACTTTTTTTCTTCGAAAAATTTATCGATAACACACTGATAACTCTGCTAACTTTAGACTTTAGCTAAAAATGCCACAAATAATACGACTGACAAATGGACCGCTGTAACTGCTGATGAGATAAGGGTGTTTTTAGCCATTATCATAATGCAAAGTGTAGTGAAAAAACCAGAAATGAAAATGTATTGGTCTAAGAATCCATTAGTCACTACTCCATTTTTCCCGAAAGCTATGTCATGCAAACGGTTTGAAAGCATCAAACGATTCCTACATTTTACGAATAATGAAACTTACAATCCCGATACGCACCCAAATCCGAAATTGAACAAAATNTTTTCCCGAAAGCTATGTCATGCAAACGGTTTGAAAGCATCAAACGATTCCTACATTTTACGAACAATGAAACTTACAATCCCGATACGCACCCAAATCCGAAATTGAACAAAATTTTCCACTTTATGAACCATTGGTGAAGAAATTCCGTGAGTTGGTTGTCCCAGATAAATATATAACAATTGATGAAAGTCTTTTGTTGTATAAGGGGCGATTGGTTGGATTCAGTACATACCACTAAAAAGAGCACGGTTTGGGATCAAGACTTACATGCTGTGCGAGTCTAAAAGTGGCTACGTGTGGAATTTCATCATTTATACAGGTCAGGGAACAATAATTGATCCTGATTTTCTTCATTTGAATCTAGTGTCTGCTAAAGTGGTTATGTCTCTCTCTAAAGAACTTTTAGGGAAGGGATATTGCCTAACCATGGATAATTTCTATAATAGTCCGCAACTTGCTGACTTGCTATTGCAACACAAAACGGAGGTATATGGTACATTGAAATTGCAAAGAAAGGAAGTTCCAGAAGGGCTACGGAGAAAGATTCAGAGAGGCGAAATAATAGGTTATCAACGAGGAAAAGTTACTGTTATGAAATGGAGAGATAAGAAAGATGTATGCTTATTATCAACGGTTCACAATATCGACACCCAAGAAGTGGCAACAAAGTCAGGACCAAAGAGAAAACCAAAGGCTGTAATACAGTATAATGACACGATGGGGGGTGTTGACCGTGTAGACCAGCATTTAGCTGATTATGTTTTGCCGAGGAAACGGGGCAAGAAATATTATAAGAAAATATTTTTCCATCTTCTTGATCTTGCCCTATGGAACTCTTTCGTCCTTTATAAAATGGAAGGTGGTAAAAAATCGGCACTTACATACAGATTAGATATTGTCAAGTTGTCGATGGAAAAGTACCACAAGATGGAGTTTTCAGCAAAAAGAGGTCGACCGTCTACAGTTCTACCTCCATCTCGCCTAACTGGGCGTCATTTTCCAGAGTATATACCAGCTACTGAGAAGAAGGCCAACCCCACAAGTTAGTGCGGAATTTGCAGCAGGGTAAGGCACGCAAGAGGCGAGAAAGCAGATACTGGTGTCCAGACTGTGATGTAGCTTTGTGTGTAACCCCATGCTTCCGTGTTTACCACACAGTGGCAAACATTTGAATTGAGCCGTTAGGAATCAATTTCCGAGCTTCCAGGTTAGGGATTTTCTGTTTTTATTTGTTTTTTTTATATGTTCACTCGGAATTCAAATATGTTCACTGACTTGTATATAATAATTTTCTTGAAGTAATACTTGTTTTTTATTATGTACGAGTGCCCGTATTATCTCGTGTTAGAGAATTTGTATATTTTCAATAAATTATTACCCCACTCTAAATAACTTTTTACTATTTCTTTTGTCAGACGGAGGTTCGGTAATAAGTTTTCTCCAGAAGACACATTAAAAAAAATAGAACTTAAATTGGTTGACATACAGAAGAAAAATTGAGCGTTAAGCGGTTAAAGTTTTGGACCTAAAACAGGTAACTCGGGATTTCCGACATTATTCATGGTACCTAGCGTACCTCTAACCATTATAGACATGTAGCAGGTCTTTGGTCAGTTAGAAAAAATCATCAAAGTAAGCACTTCAATCAGTCATAAGAATACAGTCCACTCCAAAGTAAATAAACTAGTGCAAGCAACAAGAAGTTCCATCACAATATTTAAGGTAAAATATCTACTTATCATGTATCGAGACAAAAATGTTTTGTTTACGTCTTGTCCGAGTTCTAGTCATCTAGTGCACGTGCAAGTCAAAAGTGGGTTAGAAGGTCAGTGACCTGGACAGGTTAACCTCGGTCGGAAACACGTACCGAGTTGTTGTTGTCCGATTGTTTTTTTATGGAATATACAAGTCTCTCTTGTATTACAGTCAATATTTAAATACTACTACTACTACGTTTCACTCTCTCTTTATAATTAATTAGTGAGTGTTGTTTTTTTATGACATTATTTCTGTAACGAAATTGAAATGGTTATGAAATGAAATTTAAATTATTTGAACTCCTGGAGTTTTGTAACTTCAATATTAAATTTTATTTAAAGTGAAACAGAGTTAATTTTTTGCAGCCATAATAGTTATATTTGGTCAGATGAAAACCCGCACACTACTCTACATTTAGCTTTCAGAGGAGATTCGGAGTCAATATTTGGGCAGGAGTATATGATGATCGTTTAATGGGGCCGCATTTTCTACTTGAACATCTGATCCATCTTACTTTCAATTTTTAGTAGAATTGTTTGAAAACCTTCCCCTTCAGATACTACGGGATATGTGGTATAGGAACGACGGAGCTCCAGCCCATTTTGCTCGCGATGTCCGTGGATTTTTAGACGTTCAATGTCCAAATCGGTGGATGGGGAGAGGAGGGCCCATAAGATGGCCAGCGCGCTCGTCGGACCTAAATCCTATGGACATTTGTGTATGGAGTTAATATGAAATCTGTCGTGTATCTCACCGAGGTAGAGAATGTAGAGCAGTTGCGGAATCGTATCGAAGATGCCGCTGAAGAAATACGTAACAACCCTGGTTTATTCCATCGCATCCGCCGCTCATCTACACTTGTGCATAGACGGCAACGGTAATGTATTTGAACATTTGCTGCCCGAAGGCTTACTGCAAATTAAAAAAAATATGATGTTAATAAAAACTGATTTTTGGCAAGGCATGCTCAGACCTCCTCGAGATTCTTACTGGGCAACAATAACAATTGATTGATTTGATTGCATAATTATAAAAAACAATTTATAGCATTTTAAATTATTATTGGCTAACCGTTTATTTATTGTCTTTAATATGAGCGAAAATATATAAATATGGCAACGTTGCATCTAGGGCACCTTGTTCATATCGTAGCCGTGCGCAATACTGTGAATAACCGGCTGACGTCAGCCGGTCAGTAACAGCCTGAAAATGGTGTTAGTAGAGTGCCCGATTTAATTTATTTTCACTTCTGTGGGCGTCGCGGGGTTACAAGCTGAATTATATATAAAATTGAAGCTTATATCTTACTGAATCGGAAACCGAAGGTAATAAAAAAATAACGCGGGCAGAAGGGCAGTAAAATCAAAAAACGAGTTATGACCACGGGCGGATAATACAGCACATTGGCTATAATTCTATATAAAAATCAACTTATATTTTGTACAGCATATATTTTTTATTAATTTTTGAAAGTTGCTCTTAACGTTGAGTCTTATGGCAGAATAAATTTTTAAACTGGAATATCTCGCTTCGAACACGTCGAAAATCTTACTTAAATTCAACATTTTTTTAGTTCCCACGCCATTTACCGGAAAACGGAGGCCTTAATCGAAAAATTTTACTCTTGCAAAAAGTTTATTTCATCAATTTGAAAGACAACAGCGTTTAATTCAAAATTTTTGCTTCAATAATAAACAATATATGAATAAAAATACAAAATAAATCATTTTCGACCGGCCGGCGGACGGCTGGCTACTTCGCTTCCCCACTTCGCCAAAGTTGAATCTGTCTCACAAATCTTCATAGCTCCATCTCGTACTGTATTACATTTTATTTTAATATTTCTTATCTTACCGGAATTTTAGGTGTGCCTTTTTGTAGCGGTTTTCTTATGTGCTTATATTTTCAAAAATATAGTTTTGTGGGTGAATGCATATAACGAGTTCAGTACCTAACCTGGTTAAAATCTTAATTTTTCACTTTTTAAAAAACTGAAACACATAGTGGTTGGCGTTTAGTGTTGTAAAGAAGGATAATCTAAGTGAGAAATTTTACTTTAGTTAACTGTAGGGAATTCCACATTCCAATTATAGATTTTTTATCAGAATTTAGCATTGCACGAAATGAAAAGTTCTACAACTGATAGTACTAGTTCTGAGAACGAAATCGGCTTACATGTAAAATTCAAAACGCAAAAAATGTATATGTAAAAAAAATTGGAGGTATTATAATCGAATCAACGGATAAAACTTCCTTTACTTTTATGTATTCCACTAAGATTCGGAATGATATAAACAAAGAGGTAGATGAGGACATACAAAAAGTGTGATTGTTGATGGTAAAACTGGTAAAATTGTTTGGCATAAAATGTGTTATATTGCCTATACCGAACAAACAAAATATTGAAAGTTTAAGGAAATGAGTGGAAAGACTGAAAGAGTACAGAGTAGCTGGTATTGAACCTCCACCACTTCCTGGTAGATCACTTCGTAAGGGTGGCTTTGACATACATAAATGTGTATTTTGCCAGAAGCTGTCTCCTGGGAAGAGATTATCCCAAGTTATGTCTAAAAATATAGAAACTAAAGTAAAAACATCGCATCGATCTCTTCAGAAGTTTTAGAAAGAATAGGCTCCAATGATTTAATAGCAATGGACGTAAAATATCATGTGAATTGCCTAATGACAGAATAGAATAAAAAAAAATTGGGAAAACAATTTGGTAAACCACAAACATTTAAATGGAATTGGTACGTGTGATTTTTCAGAAAATATGTTCAAGGATATTCAGATCATTATTATAAAACTATATTAAAAAAAATCATAATATTACGTCAGTAAACACTTTAAGAGATTTGTTAGCATCGTCTTCAACAATTGCAAATCTGCTTCCGACTGAAGATACTTTGCGATTCCATTATTTGAGGACCTATTATCAGTCAATTGTTTAGAACTCTGTCCAAAATTGCCTTGTATTGCCGACTGTGGATAGAAAAATTGATAAAGACATTTGAACGTTCTTCATGTGGATGCAAAAAGGTAAGATAATAAGTAGCAACCATTTTTCTAGTAATAAAATTTAAATTTTCCTTAGATTGTGGAAGCAAGGTTTGCATTTACAAGAAAAGTAATATGGGTTGAATTTGGTCCTGTAAAAACATGGCTCAAAATCTTGCAAAAAGTTCGATGAGAAACGTGACTTGGATAAATAGTGTTTTTTATCTGTTAGTCATGTTCCTAATTGTTAATAAAAAGGACCTTTTTTATATATGTATTTTATATACAGGGTCTCCGGTTCATGTTTCAAAAAAAACTTGTGTGCAAGTTCCTCATGGGAAAATAATAGGAGTAGTTCATGTGAGTTTACAGAACCGTTTAGAAATGTAATAAATATTCTCTTTTAACATATTTTTTTTTCTATTGTAGATACCCCTGCAATTACCTGTATTGGCGACACTTCTTTTCAGAAAGAAACAGCTTGCACATTATTATTGTTAACGCACAGTAGATATTTATTCGTCTACAAATTTTGATATTTTTATCTTTAGCCGATTTAAAGATAATTAAAAAAAACCATTCGGAAAGTAACAACTTCAACACACTGTATCTCGAAAACAGGGCGTCTAAGAAAAAAACTTTACATGAACTATCCTTATTGTTTTTCCATGAGGAACTTGCACACAAGTTGAACATGAACGGGACACCCTGTATATATTTATTAACTTTTAAATCTAATTATTAAAATATCGTATTTTAAATCTGTAGAAGTGAGACATGATTTATTTTACTAATTTTGCATATATTTTTCAAATTTGTATGTAGTAGGGTTATCACTACTGACTCGTACGTATCGAAGTAATACGAAATGGAGCTATGGAGATTTGTGAGACAGATGCGATTGTGACGAAGTGGGGACGCGAAGCAACCAGCCGTCCGCCGGCCGTTCGAAAAATGACTTGTTTTGTATTTTTATTCATATCTTGTTTATTATTGAAGCAAAAATTCTGAATTATTCGCTGTTGTCTTTCAAATTGGTGACAGAAACTTTTTGCGAGCGTAAAATTTTTCAATTAAGGCCTCCGTTTTCCGGTAAATAGCGTGGGAACTAAAAAAATGTTGAATTTCAGTAAGATTTTAGACGTGTTCGAAGCGAAATATTCAAGTTTAAAAATTTATTCTGTCATAAGACTCAACGTTAAGAGCAACTTTCAAAAATTGATAAAAAATATACGCTGTACAAAATATAAGTTGATTTTTATATAGAATTATAGCCAATATGCTGTATTATC